ATATATAACCCATGGACTTGAACTAAAGTGGGGGAATGCAGGTGGGAGGCAGTATGCAGGGCAGAGGAGAATAAAGGGAGAGAAATAGGGCAACTATAATAGCATAACCAATAAAATAAATTTAAAAAAAGAATGTGCATATCAATTATTAAACAGTGATGTTTATAAAAATTAGAGTGATACTACAACTTAATCACTGTTATCATATATATCACATTCTACCCCAATTTATATTTATAAAATATTTAATACTAATGTGCCACAGTGCTATTTGAAGGGAAAAGAAAGAAAAACCAGGGATTGGCCATTAATAAGTTGTCTTACTAATCCATCCTTTGAGACAGGCCAGTAAGTTAGGATAAGTGGAATGGAGAAACTGAGACAAATACATGAACAAACTGGCTGAGCAATTTACAGTCAGATGCAGAAGGTCACCTCCCTATAGATAACATTTAGGTCTCAGTTGTATTTTAGCTCCAGGGTCAGAAAAGCAAAAAGAACTGGTGGGTGACATCAGAACCAACTATAATGACTGAAGAACCTCTGCCATGGCACAGTAAAGACCACAGCCCTGAAAAAGCACATCTGGAAAACTGATAAATATTCTGCAGAAACCTTCCCTGAGACCTCCCCTAAGATTCCCACCTGCAAGAGAGAGATAAAAGCCCTAAGACAATGGACCCAGCTTCCACTCCCCCTCTGGGGAACAGCCTGTGCCATTCCCTTTCCCTCTTCCCTCTCTTCTTCCCCACCCCCCGCCACCCGAGCACAGCATCTCCTAAACTCTAAGAATTCCCATAAGACTTGCAACCAGGGGAGCAATGAGCAGCAGCAGCTCATCCCAGGCTAATCCCCTGACCCTGTCCTCAAGGTCCCCTTATCTCTGACTTCCTAGTGAGTTAAGGCAGCCCAGTCTAGGCTCTCTCCTCTTGCTTCTCCTATCCTAAGCCCTTCCTTGTTTCAGTGTCTCCAGCTTCAATAAATATACCCTCATAATCACCTGGACTCATGCTCTGAAATCTTTCCTGCACAAAGTCAAGAACCCACATACTACCTGCTGGCCCTAGGCAGATTTGCTAACAGCCAGGCCCCTGTCTAGTAACACATTTAATCTGCCTTCACTCTTTGAGAGTTTGAGGATGAAAGGAAGGAAAATAACTAGTTATCAGGATTATTTCCTTTTCAGTAGCACAATGAGCTATGGCAAGTATTGAAGTTAGAATAAGAAAGCTAGGGAATGTCTCCTGAGCTCAAAAGAAGGAAGTGAGACAAAGGAGTGGGTTTCCCCAGCACACATATAGAACGCTCCAACAGACATAGTGTCTAAGCTGCTGTGGTCAGGGGTATAGTGCATCTTAAAGGCTGTGTCAGTTTGGGCTCTCCAAGAAGCAGACATCTAGGTGGAATTAGGCACAGAAGAGATTTACTGGGGAAATGCCTGTAAAGGATAAAAGGGGAACAGGCAGGAGTAGTCAAGGAAAGCTTTGAGAATGTGAGCAGGTCTAATACGTATGAAAGGAGAGAGCATATGGAGATTGAGAAGGAGGAGCTTCAGACTGCTGCTATACAGTTCTGAGCAAGTCTTGGGTAGGTCAATGGGGAGTCTTCTGGCAAATACTGACCAGTAAAGGAGTTCCACACAGGCAGAACTCAGCTGGCATTAGTACCCTGGACTGCTCAGACACTGGCTGGGAAGAGTACAGAATTAGTATACTCTCAACCCAAAGTCATGGATCCAAAAGTGATAGCTGAGGCCATCAATTGACTATGCCCCTCGAAGTAAGTTCTTTTGAAGGAGATCTGAGTAGCAAGCTTCCCTGGTTATGAGAGAAGCTACTTAAACTCCTGTGGTATAATAAAAATAAATACCCAGCCTTTGTTCCTGTTTCCCAGCATAGAAATCATTGTAATTCCAAGTAATAAAAAGCCTGGATTATATGCTAATGCAACAGATGACTCCAGGTGGGAGGCTCTAGGATGCTTCAGGACGGGAGCTATTTGTCACAAAAACCAACCATGTGATTAGAGGGTTACAATAAAAATAAACTATCAAAAATAAAAATAAATAATAAAATTTTGTTAAATATATTCTTGAACATTGAGGTTTGGGGAACTTACAAATTGGTGAGCACGTCAAGATGCTAGGAAACTGACCACCCATCTACAGAGCTGTACAATATCCCCCTATATTTTGCCCTATGACTCTCATCTGACTTTTCCTGAGTTATATACTTTAAAGTAAAACTGTAATCTTAAGTATAGTGGTCTCCATAGTTCTGTAATTCATTCTAGTAAATTACTGAATCTAGAGGTGTACAGAAGTCATGGAAACTCCAAATTTGTCATCAGCTGGGCAGAAATGTGAATATCCTGGGGACCCCACTTGTGGCTTGCTCCTAAAGTGGGAAAAGACTTAGGGGAACAAACCCTTAACTTGGGGCACCTGTGAGAACTCTGAGTTGTTAGAGTCAGAACTGAATTGTAGTTGCTTAGTGTTGGAATGACATTTGTGGAAAAAAAAAAAAAGCCCAAACTCCTAATTATCCTGTGGACTGGTGGATGAAACATCACTTCTTAGGATAGCCTTTCTTGCTCCCAAGACTAGCTCTGGCCATGGATTTCCTTTATAATGCATATAAAGAGTTATGTATGTAATTATCTGATAACTGTCTGTCCCATCAATTACACAGTAAGCCTCATACAAGCTTATATTTTGTCGAGTAGTTTTTTGTCCCTATATTTTAAATATTCATAGGTAAAGATCCTCTCTTATATTACAGGGTTGTTGTAAGGATTGAAAGATTTAATACACGTCATGCACTTTCACATACGAAGCATGACATGTATTTGCTATTATTACTGCTCATCTTTAAGTCTCTGAAGTTCTAAGTGTAAAGTAGGCTGCAAATACATTAAGGTAAACTGAATTTGTATGGGCATTATGTTAAAGGTAACTGTTTAGTAAAATTCTACACTGTGGGTTCCTTTTCAGAATGTATTTTGATTTCCTCCAAACAGCATCAAAAGGATCCAGGAATGGTTATAGACAAGTATCTGAATATTCCACCTATATTATGATCGTAGGCAAGAGCCTATTCCTAGGAATTATATACAGTGAGGTAAAAAAAATCCCTTCCAGAAAACCCCACGTCTTAGCCTTAGTTATCTAGATATGAATAATGTGTTTACAAACAAGGGAAATATTGAAAGAAAAGGCAAAAGATTATTTTGGATCAGAAATTTGTGGGAGCTTTTTTCTCTTTAAGTCTGTGTAGATAGCTTATGATATTTAGGGACAAAAACCATCAGCTAAAAATAATTTGAAAACCAATATGAATTAGTAAATACTTATAATTATTTAAATCCAAACATAGCCAAGAATTCAGCTTTGCTTTGTAGCATATTAGGTAATGATCCTCAGAAATTATTTTAAGAAACTGTCTTAAGATGTCTTTATATTTATATGTAAGTATTTTAAATCAGTATGTTTTTACAAGGCACGAACACTCCACTTCAGGGTCACAGCACAGTACTTGGTCAATAAACACATTCAATGAATTTAAGGCCATCAGCACCCAATATTTCACTAAATATTTATTTGCTTTGTGCATAAACATACAAAGCAAATATCCAATAAAATGATGCAAATATCCAGCAAAATATCCATGTATATACACAAACATGCACACACATACTAAATAAGAAACACTGAGAGGTTAGTGTTAACTCATTTTAAGTAGTGACAAACTGAGGCATAAAGTAGCTAAACACCTTGTTGAAGTTCATGGAGTGAATAATGGCACAATCAGAACTTGAACCCAAGTCTGCCTGGCATGAAAGCCGATGCTCTTATGCCCAAAATGAGGCTTACCTAATGAATACGTGGAAGTATATACACAAAACAAGGTCAAATTCCAACCCCTCATCATATAATTAAGCTCATATTAAGAGTGAACAAATTAAGTCTAACTGTTAAACACTGAATTTTATCTCTCCTTTTCCTTAATTTTCCATCAGAAAATGAAATTGAAATTAATGAGCTTCTGTTATGGTATGATACCTCTTATTCTGCAGGGGAAATGCAGCAATCTTGCATTGAAATCACCTAGATTATCTACCTCAACTAAAATTAACCCAAAACTGAATAATATTAAGTGACTGCTACCTACGAATTCTCCCAAAAGTTAAGAGATGAAAGAAAATCTGTTTATTGGTCATAAGGTTATGTACTGTTTCTTAGCAACCAGCATTTGTCTTTCACCCAACTAGAAGTTGATGAAAAGGGGAACTATAAATGACACCATTTGGTCAGACCTAATTCACAAGCAATAATGTCTTTACAAACCATACTGTGGAGGTATAGAACCTCATTTCATGAGGCAGAAAGAGAGAACCACTGACATTTTGCATAATAAATAAATACCAAGTGTAGTCCTAGAACAGAGATCAAGAGTAAAAGTATCAGTCTGTTCCAATGAAGAGCACTTACCATCAGGGACAGGAAACTGCACTCACTTCCTCTCTTGGTCTATTCCTCTGGTCCTGGTGGCTACTTTATTTGGGAGTTTTGTTGAGAGGCAGCATTTGGATCTACCGCGGTAGCACTTGCCCTCTTCACCCTTACCTAGCAGCTAATGTGGAGATACCATTTAGGGTACCAAATTTTAATACAGGAAGGAAAAAATGTTCATGCTTGTTAGAGTATGAGTTCTGAAGATACTTGGAAATTAGTAAGAAGCCATGGCAGTCTTTCCACACCCACATCTTTCAAACCTGTAGCCAGTCACCAGAATCAGGAGACTAGTGACCTTGAAAGAAATGGGGACTTAACAGTTCAGTATGTAAAGAACCGCAGACCAGCACATTCAATTTGTGTCTTTTGCTTGAGCTAAGGCGGTTTCAAACTCTAACGATCAAGAAGGTGTCAGTCAATATGTCAGGGGATCTAGGATCCTGCTCTTCCCGGCCCCCTTCCTCCAACACCTCTTGTGAAAACTTACAGTCTCTGGCCTGTGTGCTCCAGTCTCTCCCGAGAAGGGCTCTCTGAAGTCGCCTCCAAACTTTGCCTAGGGCCTTGCAGCTGGTCCCCCTCTCGATGCTGTCCAGAGGCGTCCTGGGCCGGGCGGGAGGAGGAGGAGGAGCCGAGCCCGGATCCCAACAGCCTACTGCGAGTGTACATGGTTCAGAGCCAGCTGGGACCCCGCTGCCGCAGCCGTAGGGGGTTTCGGGCTGGGTTGCTTAGCGAGTCTCGAGATGCGATTCCAAAGACCAGGGGCAGCGGTTTCAACAGCTGAGTTTCGATTTCTTGTCTACAGCTGCAGATTGCGCCCGCCCTGGGGACTTCCCCATTCGTGCTTCACTGGGGCATCCCCGACAGTCATCTCAGGTAACAGCTCAGGCCATGGCCACCCCGCCCCTCGCGGGGTGCTGAGTTAAGCTCACTTGGCTGCAGCAGGTGAGTCAGTTTAAAATCTCACAAACAACTTTAGAGGATAATAAAGGTAACTATTCTATGATCAGTCACGGACATATTGTGAGTAAGACATTTTAGGGATTATTTCACAGGTAATCCGAGTTCGAGGTTACTGATGAGACTATATATTAACCTTCAGATGTCAGAGATTAAGTCAGTACTTTAATGCATTTAAACAAAAATTTGACTTTAACTGTGATTACTGCTCTTCGTTGTGCATGTACGTCCAAGTTAAAGGAAATGGAAACTGAAATCAAAAGAAGAGAAAAAGCAAAGCTGGAGAAACCAGCTGAGGGGGAGGCAAAGATGTTCTCCAGGCAGCCTTGCTAAGTCATTGATCGGACTTAGTAAAGAAGTATTGGCTAAATATCTGCTCTGTGCAAGACATTGGGCAATGATTCAAGTATGATGTGGGGATTTTTAAAAATACAGATTTGTAAGATTCTGCTTCTGTAGGCACTGGGGTAGTTTTAAAACGCTCCCAGGTGATTCTGATGTGAACTGGATTTTTTCACCATGATCATAATGCTGGCTATACAAAGATGAGAGAAAGCTCTTCCGTCACGAAACCTGTATTCCAGGGACAGATAAACAGATGCTGGCGCCACCATGAGATAAATAACAAGTGGGTGCTCTGGGAAACTGGGGTTAGCCCTCTGGGTAATTCGAGGAAAAGGGACATTGGAGAATGAGCCATGAAAGACATAGGAGTTCACCAGGAAGGAGATGCAGTGACAGAGACCTGTGGCTTAAAATGGCAACATCTATTCCTAACTCCAGATGGGGTGGGTAGCTGAAGCACCCAAGCCCCAAGCCAATGAGCCATTTAGGAGCTGGATTGTTTTGCTATTTTACAGTGCTTAGAACAGAGATACATGTTGGTGGCTGTTGAGAGAATGGAATTGAAACATGATCAAGTGAATAATGGGGTAGGACAGAAGGGGAGAAGGTAGTGGCAGGAACACGGAAGAAAAGGAAGTCAGGGTTTCAGTGGCACCCTATGGCCTTAGAGCTCTATGAAGTAGGCCAGAGGTTCTCCAACTTTAACAAGCACTGGAACCACCTGGATGGTATGTCTTAACAAACTGGGCTCTACTAACCTTTGAGTTTTTGATTCAGTAGGTTTGGAATGAGGCCTAAGGATTTGCATTTTTAACAAGATTCTGGGAGATGCTGCTGATTCCACAAACAACATTTTTTTCCTTTAAATTTATTTTTTGTTGTTGTTCAAGTACAATTGTCTCCATTTTCACCTCACCATGGCCCCCTCCCCACCCATCCCTACCTCCCACCCTTTAACCTACCCCCTTTTGGCTTTGTCCACGTGTCCTTTATACATGCTCTTTGATGAACCTTCCCCAATTATCCTCTCCCTCCTCCCCTCTGATTACTGTCAGTTTGTTCTTTATTTCAATGTTTCTGGTTATATTTTGCCTGCCTTTTGACCCAGCAATAGCACTGCTGAATTATACACAAGAATTCCAAAACACCAATGCAAAAGAACCTATGCACCCACATGTTCATAGCAGCATAATTTACAATAGCCAAGTGCTGGAAGCAACCTAAATGCCCACCAGTAAATGAGTGGACAAAAAAACTATGGTACTTTTAAATGATGGAATACTATGAAGCAGAAGGAAAGAAGAAGCTCATACCCTTTGCAACAGCATGGATGAATCTGGAAAGCATTATGCTAAGTGAAATAAGCCAATAAACCACATGATCTCACCTATAAGTGGAACCTAATCAAAACAACCTTTTAAGACCACTGCTATAGGCAATGTTTTTTTCAATAATGCAGTTCTGTAATAATTCCTATTCGAGAAAGCTAGGTCTACTGGCAGTGTAAAAGAGAGACTGAAAATAAAGGGACTGAAATCTGAGAGATAAAGTAAGAGTCTAGCTATTACAATCTAGGTAAGAAATATTGGTCTGAACTAAGGAAAATAGAAAGCAGGAAGCAAAATCAAGACATTCCAAGTGAAAGATTAACATGAGTAGATTTAAAAACAACAACTAAATGCAAAGGAGTTCTGAGTACCAGAGGCCTGGAGAGAAGAGGAGATAATTTATACAGTACATTTACCCAAGTTTGCCACATTATAGACACATGACCAAGGCCAAGTCTCTTAATTTTTCAGAAGCCCAGTTTCTACAACTGTGCAATGTGGAATGAAGTTACATTACTTACTTTGTTGGGTATTTTGTGGAATAAAGACATAATCCATATTAGTAGTTCTTTTTTTTTTTTTTTTAGTTTTCTCATTAATATTTTATTTGATTTTTATTACTCATTACAATATAAAACAAACTTAGGAACTTATGCCTAGCAGTGATATTAATCACTAGAAAAATTTGAAATATGAAATTAGACTTTTAAAAATTTGTCTTAAAATCACAGACTTGTGATTTAAAAAGTATGTATAATACTTTTTTTTTAATTTTATTTAGTTATTTTTCAAGTACAATTTTTTGTCTATTTTTCCCATCCCAGCCTCCCCTGCCCCTTGCTCCCCCCCCCCCTCCCATTTCCTCCCCCCCTTAGTTCTCGTCCCTGTGTCCTTCCTATTTGTTCCTCCAAATCCCTCCCCCCTTTTTCCCCTTAACTTCCCTTCCTTCTCCCCCTCTGGTCACTATCCCCTTGTTCTCTATTTCAGTGTCTTTGTTTTTTGGGTTTTTTTTTTCTGCTTACTTGTTTGTTTTGTTGTTTAGCTTCCTGTTAAAGGTGAGATCATATGGTATTTGTCTTTCAGCACCTGGCCTATTTCACTCAGCATAATGCTTTCCAGTTCCATCCATGTTGTTGCAAAGGGTAGTAGCTCCTTCTTTCTCTCTGCAGCATAGAATTCCATTGTGTATATGTACCACAATTTTTGGATCCATTCATTTACTGATGGGCACCTAGGTTGCTTCCAACTCTTGGCTATTGTAAATTGTGCTGCTATGAACATTGTGGTGCATAGGTTCTTTGATATTGATGTTTTAGGATTCTTAGGATATAATCCTAGCAGTGGAATTGCTGGGTCAAAAGGCAGGTCGATTTTTATTTTTCTGAGAAAAATCCATACTGTTTTCCATAATGGTTGTACCAGTCTGCACTCCCACCAACAGTGAACTAAGGACCCCGTTTCCCCACAACCCCTCCAACATTTGTTGTTTGTTGCTTTGTTTATGATAGCCATCCTGACTGGTGTAAAGTGGTATCTCATTGTGGTTTTAATTTGCATCTCTCTGATAGCTAATGATATTGAGCATCTCTTCATGTGTCTCTGAATGTTCTGTATGTCCTCCTTGGAGAAGTGTTTGTTCAAGTCCTTTTCCCATTTTCTAATTGGGTTGGGTGTCTTCTTAGAGTGGAGTCTTGTAAGTTCTTTGTATATTTTAGAGATTAAACCTTTGTCTGAGGTATCATTGGCAAATATGTTTTCCCATACAGTTGGTTGTCTTGCTAATTTAATACTGTTTTCTTTAGCCATGCAGAAGCTTTTTATTTTGATGAGATCCCATTTGTTTATTCTTTCCTTTACATTCCTTGCTCTAGGGGACATATCAGTAAAGAAGTTGCTGCGTGAAATATCTGAGATTTTCTTGCCAATGTTCTCCTCTAGGACTTTAATGGTGTTATGACTTACATTTAAGTCTTTTATCCACCTTGAATTTATTTTGGTGTATGCTGATATATATAGAGCCCTTCATCCCAAAGAAGCTAAATACACATTCTTTTCAAATGTACATGGAACATTCTCAAAGATAGACCACATGATAGGACACAAAAGGAGCCTCAACAAATTCAAGAAAATTGAAATCATACCAAGCATCTTCTCTGACCACAAGGCACTGAAATTAGAAACCAACCCCAAAGAAAAAAACCCAAAGCACCCAAAAACATGGAGACTGAATGGTATGCTATTAAACAATGAATGGGTCAAGAATGAAATTAGGGAAGAAATCAAAACATTTCTGGAAACAAATGAAAATGATCGCACAACAACCCAAAACTTATGGGACACAGCGAAGGCAGTCCTGAGAGGGAAGTTTATAGCAATACAGGCCTACCTAAAGAATATAGAAACATTTCAAACAAACAACCTAACCATACGCCTGCAAGAACTTGAGGAACAACAACAAAGACAGCCTAGAGCAAGCAGAAGGAAGGTAATAACCAAGATTAGAGCAGAATTAAATGACATAGAAACTAAAAGCACAATTTTAAGGATCAATGAATCCAGGAGTTGGTTCTTTGAAAAGATAAACAAAATAGACAAGCCTTTAAGTAGGCTCATCAAGAAAAGAAGAGAGAGGACACAAATAAACACAATCAGAAATGAAAAAGGAGAGATTACAACTGATACCACAGAAATAGAAGAGATTGTAAGAAATTACTATGAAGAACTGTATGCCAAGAAATTTGAAAACCTAGGGGAAATGGACACATTTCTAGAAAAATACAATCTTCCAAAACTCAGTGAAAAAGAAGCAGAAAAATCTAAATTCACCAATAACAGCAAAAGAAATTGAAGCAGTAATCAAAAAACTCCCATCACACAAAAGCCCCGGACCAGATGGTTTCACAGGAGAATTCTACAAAGCATTTAAGGAAGAGCTAACCCCTATTCTCCACAGACTATTTCAAAATATTAGTAGTTCTTAGATAGAGTTGATTTTGTCTCCAGCAGACATTTGACAATGCCTGCAAGCATTTTCTGTTGTGAAGCCTAGAAGTGGGTGGGGATCAGGCTTCTGGCATCTAGTGGGTAGAGGCTAGGGATGCTGCAAAACATCTACAACACACAGGACAGCCTCCACAACTGAGAATCATTCTGCCCCAAATA